ATTATAGATGGATTCCATAGTTATGTAAATATGATAATTATTCCAAGAATTAGAATGGAGTGTAAATATGACATTAGATTAAAGTTAAAAAGTTCAGCAAAATAGTGATTCCGCTACCATGAAATTGCCCAATTGTAGTATAAGGTATTTAAATGTACAGAAAAACATTTGAATTCATTTTGATTTAAAGTGGAATTAATGAATTTGTATTAAGATCAAAACACATTATTAAAGAAGAAATCAAGACAGAATGTACAGTATTTCTGTTTACCACAGATATAGTTATGGTAGGCAGGCCCACCCAGCCTTACTGTAAGCTTTCTACCCAGTCTAAAGCTAATTTCATGGCCCTACACCTACCTGCAATGCCCATCCTTAAAATCCAATCTTATTAGTTAGAGTTTCGCAATGTTATCGCCCACCCACCCTTAAAATGTCTACAATACATCCTTAGTTTTCTATAGCTACAACCCTGTATATAACCGTAATGAACTCAGTATCCTGTAGCAAGTATTTCCATTGCTCTATATGTGGACTACTTATAATAATGAAACAAGAGACACTGACGAAGATGAAAATGTGACCATTGTTGTAAACACGGAAGAAACATCTGCATCTTCATCATTTGCAACAAGTATGATCCATAATTTTATTATCCTTTATGAGGCATTTATTTTATTTATTTATTTATTTATTCATTCATTCATTCATTCAATCTATTATTATTATTGTTATTATTATTATTATGATTATTAATATTATTACATGGCTTGACTGATGAAATGCTACATGTAGGATATTACTGTATTCATGATTCTACAATTAATGGCATAACTACCTATTTCATCCCATAAAGAACTGTTCAATTGTACAATAATGTTATTAACTTCACTCATTGGGGGGGGGGGGGGGGGGGGAAAACGGTTTTTGAATGTTGTTACTCATTCTACATGCTTGACTCTAGCCAAAATGGATATAGTCAAACAGTGCTAAACTGCGTTTTACTTACTTTAGTCGTACAGTATGGTAGAACCCCTTGGATGATGCAAGCTTTTCTGAATATATGAATCTGAAGCTTATAAGATATTTGATAGATTTTTTTTTTCCCAGCATATATTTTGGAGTTGCACTACTTACATTTTATTACTAGTATAGAATTTATTTTCATACTTGATTTGAATTCAAACCTAGTTCTTTATTTTTTAAATTCAATTCAAGACATTAGTACTGCATTTATCAGCCACCAGAAAATTGTTTTCATGGTAACTATTGGCCAAGCATGGCTCTTACTGTTAAGTCCAATTCAAAAATGATTATAGTACATTGTCAATTTAAGAATAGTATAAAAAAAATTATATTTATTTATTATATTTTTCTCTTTACATTTCCTTGTCTATAGTGTATGGTTTTCATTTACAAGAGTGTTGGTGTCAATCTCGCTAATCGTTTTGCTAGTTGATACATTACTAATATAGGTTAGGCCTGCCTGTAAGCTAGCCTGCTACAGTAAACCTGCCTCTCAGGTGGTAATGCTATACAGTAGTATGCTTTTATTGAGTAGTAGTAATTCTGGTAATAAATTATTACATTAACTAGACTATCGAAAATACTGTATACTGTACAGCTATATCACATGATCAAATGTACACTGTACTGTAGTGTAGTTTTTGGTTAAGTACAATCAATATTTATTCTTGGATAGGATGATACAGTACAATAAAGCTGAAATCAGTGGGTTCAATCCTATTTGACTAATGTGGCTTTGGTTTAGTTTCTGATCTAAGAATATGAAATACATACTTTGTATGTAAAATAAGTTATTAACTTTTAAATTAGAAATTGATCTGAAATGATATTGTTACACTATTTGTTCAAATAATATCAAATACATTTAAATACTGTAGGACACAGTTTAGAATAATTCATTTTTTCCCCTGATTTTTTTGTCTTAAATAAGAAAAAAATGTTTGCCAGTCATTTTAAGGGCCTGTGCACAGAATATTATTTTTGTGTAGTTGAATGTAAACATACAGTACTGTAAAAAAGAGGATTACAAATACCGAACATTTAATAGATAATATAACATTCTTTTATTGTCAAAGTGTCTGTACATTCTAAGTATACAGTATTGTTCATTGCAGAGCATCATATAAATAGCATTAATAACAACATCATATACTGAAGCACACAAAATTGTAAATCAGTGGTTAATATTAGTAATTAACTATAATTATAATAAAAATGTTTCTTCTTTATGTATTGATTAATTACAGTATACTTTATCTGAAGAGATCTCTGTAAGGCAAGAGTTAAAAAATTTGCATATTTGACAAAAAACTTTGGAACAATTAATGACATAGAGATTTTTAAATATTTAAGAAACTGAGGTTAAGGTGGAAAAAATGGGTGGTTTTTCCCTCTCCCCAGTTTTTAAATATCCAAAAATCTGTATCTCGTCCATTCCCAATTTTTTTGTCAAATATGCTTTTTGTGTCTTACAAAAATCAATTGTACAACATATAATTTTTTTTTTGCTACGGAGCTGGACTTTAAGTGCTAAAATTAGAAACCAGAGGAAATTGTAAAATTATTGAGAGTATAGTAGGCCTACAGTACTGTATATTACAATACTTCTTGGTATTTTATAGATCTTGTTCTATTAGTATTGAGATGCGATTTCCTCTGTACTATATACAATAGAAACTCTGCCAACACTACTGTAGATCATAGATGCAGACAAAGAGTTAATTTTATGTAGTTTCCTCTTCAGTCGAGGCTGTGCGGAATTTAAATTTTAAAGGAAATTTTATAACAAGATCACCTTAAATTAAAGATACAGTACAGTCTATTGTTGTCCTTACAATTCATATTCCAATACTGAATTTTACTGTTATAATTCTATCATGAAAGTAATTATGAAAATTATAATTGTCTTCGATGACTATTCAGGAAAAGTTAACAGTAATTATTCATAGAAGATAGAAACCAAACAATAGGAGATTCATTATATATTTATAATTTACTGTATTACATAGACAAAGATGAAGCTCAAGTTTCTCTTTATTGTCACACACTGTAAAGTTCACAAGACATTTCTCTTCCAAGGTTCATGGTACAAAAAAAAAATACAATATACTGTACAGTGATTAAACTGTCATTAAACAAATATCTAAATCCCAGTAATACTGTAGCTGAATTTTGCTAATTCATTCTTTCAAAATTAGTGAAAAAGCTCTTGAAGCTTATATTGATTATTTTGTTTTGGCATTAAATTTCTATTTGGCTAATTATTTTCATACTGAATTAGTCAAATTTTTTTTTTTTTTTTTGGCCAGATTAAACCCTTAATATAAAAACAAAATTAATGTACACAGAATGTAAATTAGATAATATAATAAACATGAATTAATAACTAAAAAAATAATACAATTTCACATTTAGACAGTAGTACAGTACCTAAAGGCTAAAAATATATATTTTTTATCTTTTTTATTATTATTACAGTATCTATTAAATTATTGATTCAAGAATTTGTGTTATATCACATACATCATACTATATCTATTCACAAAGATCTACTGGAAAACTTGAGCTCTTTTAGCTTCCTTTTAAAAAATTATGTTAAGATATTTACGTGTTACGCGAGATAAACGTGTTATTCACTACCTCTTATTGAAGTATTGCATACTTAAGGCATAAAATGATGCAAAAACTAAATAATATGACAAATCTGGTTTGGTCTGGCATCACAAGTCCAATTTTACAGTTCTAAGTGTGATTGAAATGGAGATACAACATTATAGAGTATGTGTTTTTTTAACAATAGTTTTTAGTTGACTCACGATTTTCTTTCATTTAATGGATTCATTCACGCACTACTTAATGGCCCTCAGTGGCCTCTGCTGTAGAGTCTGTTTAATGACAACATATACACATGTTTGTAGGTTACCAGTAATTTTAATCTCTGACACTCGGTATCATGCATACATGTTACTATATATGAAATATATGCTATGTTAGTTTGTTCATATGTGCTTAGACAATGTGTTATTTAATGTAGCTTATTTTTCTTGTGTTTAATACAACCATGTTTTATTTTTAACCTGCCACTCATTCTGTAGAATGTAAAAATGTTCATAATTTTACCTTCAAGATTTAAAAGTGTAAATAAAAGTATTGAAAAAAAAAAATCAATATTTTAATTGCTTACTTTGTAGATTTAAATTTATTTTGTTAAATACTGTACTACTGTTCTACTTTTGTTGTCATGCCTAAATGTTTGCAGTTTGTAATCATTGAAGCAAATGAAGTTAGTGATTGTATTGCAGATGACAAAACCGTATCAGAGTTTCATTGGTAATTTTTGAGCTTCACTGTTTTATCATTTATAATTTTTGACCTGTGACCTACATGCATACATAAAGCTATACTAATATTTTGTTACAGTTGCTGGTCAGAAGAGGGCTTTTCCTAGTGACATAGCTGACGGCGCTCCTCCTTCCAAGAAGATTTATGGTAAGTTATATTTTATCTTAGGGCACTACCAGCGTCATAAGATTGAGCCTCACAATAAGACCCACTGCATAGCGATTTACTTTGTTGTGCAGTGGAATTTGGTGAGAATTTTAATCTCTTGTTATAGCAGGAAAATGTTGTATTCGATATGTTTAACCTTAAAGGGAAAAACTCTTCATGTTTAATAGCAAAGTCAGAAATACTAATTAACCTATAAAACCATGTGTCTGTATAAAAAAAAAGGGGGTGGGGGATGGGATAAGATCTCTTCATGTACCATAGCTAAGTAAAAGAAAAACACTGATTAACCTAAACCATGTAGTATACTGCATGTATTTAAAAAAAAAAACACATGATGATGAAAAGCTATTTCAAATTATTGATGTTGTATTTGAAATATTTAGCCTCAAAGGGATGAGATCTCTTCATGTACTGTAGTTAAGTACAAAGAAAAAACTAATTAACCTATAAAACCAGTATCTGAATACATGATGATTAAAAGCTATTCCAGATTATTAATGAGCACTTCTAGATAATATTTGTCATTTCATTGTTGTACAGAGGAGGACAAATAGTTTTCTACAGTACAAGATGTTTCTGATCAATCATTTTAAAATACTTGCTCTACAGTATATGTCTGCAGAATCATTAGTCTCTTGAAAGACTTTCTACTTATAAAAAATATTTTATAATCTTACTTACAAATATTATTTTTCAGATTGCAATATGCTAAAAATTAATATTAGGCCTAACTATATTTTAAAACAGTGCTCTACACTTGAAGTTGCTCTCCAACAATAATTCCTTTTATCGTTTTTGTATGCTATACGGAGTTTGACATAATTTTAATTACTTTCTTCGCAGCTTCAGAAAAAAAAAAAAGTGTTTTGTTTTATGATATCAATACATTCAAGAATTGGTGAAATATTTAATAGTCAACTTTCCTTTAATTATTTTGCTTACTGACCCAAAAAGTCCTATTGGACAAATGATCACAATCTTCCTCATTTAAGCAGACATAAATTATCATGTCTAGATTCATCATGGCCTGTTACTCAAACACTTCCTGTACATAGTTTCCTCTTGGCAACCATTTCTAATCCTCTTAAAATTAATATCAACAGTTCCCGATTTTCCAAAAGAGGACCAGATAAAACTGGTGGAACAGGTACGTCAGCAGATACCCAAGAAAGACATCCACTCGTACAAGTCCCAAGTGAAGAAGATTGACTGGCGTGAGGTCGCATTTGGAACATACTCCGACAGTGAATGCCAACGCCAATGGGTTATGCTGCAAGAAAACGTACGTCATCATTTGTTAGTAGCGTGTGAAATTATAGATGCACTTAATCTCAGCCACTCATGTAATCAAAGTTGAACTTCTTGATAACCTTAAGTAGCATGGGTTCCAAGAATTAGTTCCTTTTATTCGTCCTTTATTTGTTTCTTTCAACAATCCATTTCCTCTCAGCACATGTCCGATCCACTCCTAAATCTTACTACATCAATTATTGACCTGAATTGTATTACTTCATCTACAAATTTTTCATGTACAACCAAGTTTACAATCAGTCATTTTCTTTATGCCATCTTCATAGTTTTTGTCTTCTTCCCATTTAATCTTCATATATTTTTTTTTTTTTTTCAATAACCACAAATTTATGCATTATTCCATCCAGTCCTTTTTCCATACCTGCAAAAAACATTAGAACGAATACCATAAAACCTTGAATTGAAGCCCTGGGCTTCTAGTTGTTCATGCGAACTTTGGATGGGCTTCTTTTCGAGATGGGCTCATTCTGAGACTATTTTTGCAAAGTAAAGAGGTGGGGCTTCTTTTCAAAATTAATGCTGTAAATTTTGTGAATTTTTACAAAAAAAAACAATAAATAAGGCCACTGTAACATCAATCTGTACCATGGAGTGCATTTTACTGGCATTTAAATCACCTAAACTACTGTATAAACCAAGCTTGTATTTAATTTATTTTGTTTTCTGAAATTCATATACAGTGAATGTACTGTACTATCTCAAAAAGAAGCCCATGGGCTAATTTTGCAAAATAAAGAGGAATTTAAATTCGAGATGGGCTTTATCTCAAGTTTAAGCCCACTGGGCTTCACTTTGAGGTTTTACGATATATAGTAGTACAGGTTACTATAGTAATTGATCTGACTTTCAATCTGTGTCGTAATATATTGCTACCTGGAATAGCTTGCCAAATGAAGTATACATTCATTTGGCAAGTATACCTTCATATTGTTTTCAGCAATAATAATTCTTGGAAAGGATGATGCAATAAAGCTGAAATCAGTAGGTTGAATCCTATTTGAGTAATGTGGCTTCGGTTTAGTTTCTGATCCAAGGATTTAAATTGCTTTCTTTGTTATTTAAATAATTGGCTTTAAATTTTAAAAAATAAAAAATCAAAGGAAATAATATTTACATTTACAACTTCAAAAATTCATAAATTATACTTCATAAATAATTTTCTTATGTCAGTAACATCATCAAAACATATCTGCACCAGTTACTCTGATAATTGAAACTTTGAATGTGTATTCAATCGTAATCTGTCTTGGTTTAGTTTCTGATCCAAGGATTTAAATTGCTTTCTTTGTTATTTAAATAATTGGCTTTAAATTTAAAAAAATAAAAAATAAAAAGAAATAATATTTACATTTACAACTTCAAAAATTCATAAATTATACTTCACAAATAATTTTCTTATGTCAGTAACATCATCAAAACATATCTGCACCAGTTACTCTGATAATTGAAACTTTGAATGTGTATTCAATCGTAATCTGTCTTGAAGTGGAGACATTAATATTTACTTCATATTTCAATCACCCAATTTGGAAAAGGTTTTTTGTATTTGGTTAAACATTGTATTTTTAGAAATGGATTTTATTTTTTTTGCAGTAATTTTGCCATTTTGAGTATCAAATCCCAGCTCAGCATCACACAAAAATTAATGATGTGAAGGACAGAGCTATTTTTGATTTTTAATTTTCTGTCAACTCTTCTAGATTCGTAAGTACAAGACATTGTCAGATGTATCAGCAGAGATTATAGTCAATATCAAGGACCCTAACACAAGCCTGAAGAAATGGGTAAGTAGCATGCTTATGAATAAAACTCTTAATATATTATATTTAATGCTTGTGGTACACCATGGAGATAGTTCTGAAAAGAACTTTTTGTTGAGAATGGCTTTAGCAAACCTCTAGCAATTTATTTAAGCCCTGTCCAGTCTATCAAATTTCATTTGACAAAAACATATGGCATCCCTAAGTATGGTCAATGACATCACATCATGACCATATATGGACACATCATGACTATATATGGCTATACAACAGTATTTTGCCAAAGGAAATTTGATAGTTTGGCCAAGTCTTTAAACATGGTTCTTGCCTCAAATTATTCACAAGTGGTATGCTTGTTATAGCAAAAAAAAAAATGGTTTAGATTATATGTTAATTTTACTTTATTTTTTGGTTAAAAAAAGATGCTTGTTTACGCATTTATTTTTATGCCCTTTAAAGCAATCGCATCCAGAAATGCCGAAGAAACCAATGACGCCATTCTTTCAGTTCTACCATTCCAAGGCTAAGAAGTTGCGAGCCAGATTCCCGGAGTTGTCGCAAATTCAAATTACACAGAAATGCTCTCAGCTGTTCAAGGAACTGCCTGAAGAGAAGAAAGTAAGCATTTAGCTGTCTTCATTTTATCTCCACATTGTTTTAATCTCCTTTATTAATAGGACTAAATAAAAAAGATATAGTAGTTTGTATTTTCTCCAAAGCCATTTTCTGTACAAAGTAGCCATTTTGCCAAGGTGACCTTTTTAAGTGTCCCGGGTACATTAGTATGACATTGGATTCTAGAGCCCTGGTCCAGTCTATAAAATAAATTAAAAAATAAATAAATATAGTCATGATGACATCACATCATGGCCATATATGGGCACATCATGACTATATGTGAGCACACAACAGTTTTTTTGCAAAGAAAATTTGATAGTGTGGAAGAACTTAACTAATTTTGTTTGCTGTTAATGCTATTATAATTATGTAACCTCTCATTCCCTTTCAGCAAAAGTATGTAAGTCTGTATGAAGTACAGAATGAGCAGTACAAAGGGGCACTGATTGCTTTCAGGTAATTTTCCAATTATTAAAAAAAAATATATATATATTAAAAATTGTAGGAACAGTAATATCGCCCAATTCCATACCCCTCCATCCCAGCAGATTTCGTAATTGAGAAAATTCATAATTCAGAGAGTTTAAATTGTCATAGCTTCTCAGTGTGGTGAGGGTATGCCCAGGCCTATGCTACAAAGTACAGGGCTAGGTTGACCTAAGCCTTGCCATGGGAGGGAAATTTTGTCACGAAAAATGACTTGGATTTTACTGTTTCCTGCAATAAAAATAATACTTTCCAGAAGCCAAAATTACCTATGCTCACTGTGAAGTATTTATTCGAAGTGATTTCCGAATGAAAACATGACCAAATACTGTATTAATGGCCAAAACGAGTGTTTTTATTCTCTCCTTAAAATTTGCAAATCCATGCGAATAGCACCCCCAATGAACAAAAAGTGAGATTTTTAACTGTACAGCATGCCTGAACAAGCATGTTTTACAGAAATGACGTCATCGTTGCAAATTGGGTTCGTAAAATCAAGAGCTCGTAATTGGGAGGTTTGTAATCTATACAAAAAAAAAGAAAAAAATAACTTGATATTAATTTTACCATTCTTTTCTATATATATGTAGACTTAAGTATCCAGAATATGCTGTATTTTCAAGTAAGAAAAACACAGCTGGGCCACCAAAGGCTAGCACTCCATATCAACTTTGGGCTATCAGTAAAATGGACAGTTACCTTGCTAAGTATCCAGATGTAAGTTTTTTTAAATTTATTTCCGTAACTGATTACCAATAGCTGCAAATCAAGGAATTGTTAAATAATACAATAAAAGACATAATTAGAAAAGCATTACAGTTATATTAAATTTTAACAAGTAAATGTAATTATATAGGTGATTGAATACAAGAAAGTGTTATTGTTGTAAACAAAAAGTTGTATAATTTATCATGACTTACAAGTTGTAATTTCATTATAATGGCGTGGTTGTCAGGATATACGTTAATAAAAATTACAAAATATATTTTTTAGAAACATTTTTAACTTCAAACGAAAACAATTGAGACAATTGTAATTCTTTACTGATTATTTTTTCTCATAGATGCTGAAGAAAGAACGAGATGAAAAAATGAAAGATACATGGCGGAACCTCTCTGAGAAGAAACGCATCAAGTGGATCAAAGCCTCTGTTGAAGATGACGAGCGGTTTGAGGTGAGTTGTGCAAAATGTGAACCAAGCATCGCGGTAGGGTCAGCTTAGCTCAGTCAGCTTAACTGGTGGTAGCCACTGTGTGTGCGCTGAAACATGGACATCTCTTGTCCCCAGTTAAACTCCCATCAACAATCATAATTATGTACTCTTTCATGAGCACCATATAATGTAATATACTTCTGCGATTACTATTAATCATATATAAATTTTTAAATTCTGAAAGCCATTGTCTCTAATTGTTAGATCACATATATACTTTCCATATTCAAAATTGTAGTTCATTTTGTGTAATTTGAATATTACATGGAAAAACTTGCATTGTAGCAGTGAGTGACCAGATCCGAGTTTAGAAATATGACCTGATTCTTTTTATCATACGACAGAGTGCACTTGAGGAATACTGCAAGGGCCATCCCGACTACAAGCCGCCAGATAAACGCACAGTGCTCACAAAGGACGAGTTGGAACTCAAGGAGAGGTTTGATGGCAAGCCTGATCGTCCACCTCTGTAAGTGCCTGCTCATTAAATGTCTAAATCTAGTAATGTGGAAGAACTAAATGTGGAGAAATGTTTGTAAAAATGATTATAATTCTAATAAGTCCTTTTAAAAAAATGGTTTGTTTGCTGTGAAGTAAAGGAGCGTGCAGAAATTTGTTTTTGTTTTTGTTTTTTTTAAAATAAAGATTACCAAAATGGTCTGTATGGAGGTTTGTAGAAGATGAGGGGTGGATAAAAAGATTTTTTTTAAATGTAGAAACTGAATATATGTACACTATAGGTCTCCTTGCAATATGGAGCTATTTTTTTTTTGTGGTTTGGAATTGGAAGAGGGATCTTTATTTGGAGTAAGACACATGATTAAAATAAACTACTGCACTATGTATCAGGTCAAGCTCACCAGCTTCATTCACTTATTAAATGTGTAAAATCAAAATCGTGTCGCAAAAAAAAAAAAAAAAATTTTTCAGCTTAAAAAAAAAAAGCTGCCTCCTCATTTTTCAGATTTTAGGGGCGACGAATGGCGGCAACCAAACAAGTTTTTTGTTTTAGGCCCAATGTTTGATTTTTCTGCAATACTTTAAGAATAAGGTATCGTAATGAGAGATTTTGGCAAGTATACTCATCCCTGGCGCCCTCAGAAACACCCTGTGGGCGAGTACTCGTCGCTGGCAGTCAGCGTGTTAAAGCAACCGCGTAGGGAAAGTGGTAGACACATTAAACATAATAATTTTGTAAACATTAAGTAATTTGTAAGTTTACACAATGTTAATCATATGAAGACAATAACATTGACCTATGAGAAGGCCAAATATCATTTTTCATTTGCTAAATAAAATGATAAGGATAATTTAAATATAATTGGATTTTGTTGCTTGAATGCCTATAGAACTGGTTATGCACTGTTCTGCAAAGAAATGTTACCGCTCCTAGGTGACGACGTACCCAACAAAGATAAATTTGTCGAGTGCAGTCTGCGTTGGAATCAGTTAGATGCCAGCAAGAAGGAGGACTACAAAGAACGTGTCGAGAAAATGCGTATCATGTATGAGCGGGAATTAAACAATTACGTTGGCAACCTGCCAGAGAACGAACAAGAGAGGTATCACGCAGAACTGAAGAAACTAAAGAAAAGCCCTGCAGCATCCGGTGGGCGAGGAGGAAAGGGAAAATCTAAGGTAAGGGTAAGTTTAGTGTCATATTATTGAGTTTTGCTTTAATTTATTACCGTATATACTCGCGTATAAGGCAACCCGCATGTAAGACAACCGCCGAGTTTGAGAAGATTATATAAGACTATAAGACGACCCCCCCCCATATCAAATCGAAATTCATACTTTTTGCTGCTTTTTATGGTCTTGATACTACATCTAGATAGTTAAAAACAGAGCCAAATGCAGGACTAATTTTCCAAATAATACCATTTTATGAGATTTTATGTTAATCAAAAGCTTATTTCCCCGTTTTTAAAATTGCGGCCATTCACAGGCATACTAACATTTTTGTAGTTTTATTGCTGTAGTAAATTCACCTGTTACGGACCATTCGCACATAATTTTTAAAAACTAAAATTTTTATGGCGCACGTATAAGACAACCCACTATTATTTGATCATAATTTGCTATTTTAAGACTTGTCTTATATGCGAGTATATACGGTATGTAAGGTGCTTCCTTCAACATAATCTTTGTTTCTTGATAAGAATACTTTCTCTGTTGTCCTCTTATGCTTCTTCATAATGAGAACTTATGCATCACATTTTTTGTCACTATCACTCGAGTTAAATTTATGAGTTAAGCTAGTCGCCCACTGCATCATATGATGTGTCCAACTTCGTCCCCTGTGAGCACTAGATAACGTGATGCTGTCTGCTAATTGTTGGTGGCAATCTGAACTTATCGTCGTTAAAACTATTCATTGCGTGTCCGTTGTTAGGTTGTGTTCTCTCTAGAATTGCATCGGACCACAACAGCTGTAAGTGCCCGACTTAAGAAACAAGTACTGACTATATTAAGTAATTTATTGATGTTTTTGCTTTTTTTTTAACCTTGCCTTTCTTATGGTTTATTTGACCTTTGCAGAGTACGTCATCTAAGCCTAAGAAGCCAATCTCTGCCTTGTTCTTGTACACCAATGAGCATCGAGCAAAGTGCAAGAGCAAGCATTCTGATTGGACAGACACAGAGGTCACACGACACTTGGCTAGGAAGTTCAGTGAACTACCAGATAAGAAGAAGGTAAGCAAAGCAACCACTTCAAATGATACCATCACTCAGTATGAGAATATGGACACATGCACTGCAGCGTTTGAACTTTGAACCAAGTGATATTAGGCTTGCCATGCCAAAACCAGAATCTCAAATTCCCTTGGACGACAAGTCACAAACAATTTGTGTGGTGAATTTTGGGACATTAACAATCGACTTAGACTAACTTAAATTATGTTCAAAAGAACAAATACAGCAATTATGATTTTCACAGGAATAACATGGGACAGCTGCCATAGCAAAATCGCTGTGCCAGTCCATTGTTTACATCCAACACCCAAGTTAGGTCATTTGACGCCCATGGCCGAATCCCTCTCTATTAGGTAGTGCTCAACCAGCTCTATGACAAAAAATACTCAACATGTTTGGGAGAAAGTTGCATGTTGTTGTGTAAAGGTTGCACATTTGATTGTATAACTAATTGCCAGCAATTGTTTCTGGAATAGAGAGATGTGGGCTTAAATCCTATCATAATTATATATGCAGCATGATGTCATCCATTGTTAGTGGTGTCCCTCAGTATGACCCTTATTTAACCATTAAATTATAGAACGTTTTATTTGTTATCAAAACAATTTTCATCCTCTTTATTGTGACCATAAGGGATGCTAAATATTGACATAAATGTTACCATGACAACTTGGCACTGCTATGTAAACACTACTCTATTAATTAAAAGCTCAGATATTTTCAATCTGCTGTAAAGATATTCTCTGAAAAGCTGCCTTATAAATTCAGTGAAGTCGTCGTTCTTTATATATTTTTCATATCATGTTTCAGTGATAAATTCATGTATCAATTGATTTATAAGTGTTTGATTAATTGCCTTTGATTGGAAATCTTGCAAATATATTGAATTTAATTTTTTTAAATTACACTTGTTTACTTTTTTGCAGCTTAAGTATCGGCGTCTCGAGGCTGAAGCTAGGAAAGAACTGAATAACTCCATGTAAGTATTAACTCTTCATAATTTTATCTATGCTTATTTACTATTGTTGTGTCATTTCTTTATTAATAGTGTTAGTAATAATTTCATAACAATATAAATGAGACTAGTTTTGAAATGGCTAAACAAAAGCCAATATTTATAGTCTGTGTTAAAGGTGTGGTGTTTGTAGATGTTGGTTTTTAAATTTATATTTAGTGATTATAATGGTATTTAATTTGTTGCCATGTTTTTTGTTCTTGTAGGGACAGTACTGCTGCTTTTATTGCGGATGGCCGTAAAGTGTCGGCTTTTGAACTATGGTCAAATACAAAGCTGAACCATGTAATGGATGAGCAGAAGGTAATACAAAATGTCTTTCAATTAAGTATCTATACAGCCACATAAATCAGTAGTGATTAGTTAAAAGCCACAGGCTTGTCTTAACTCCTCGAGCATAAGCCCCTTTCTTGAACTTAAAATGGTGGAACATGCCTGCAAATAGTAGAGAGCCTGTAGGCTTAAGCTGGGCTAAAGGGGGCCTTAATGCTAGTAGTAGCAGTACAGTAATGAAAGTTTAAAATGTATTTTTTTATTTATTTGTCATATGAAAGATTTTAGAATGTATTTTTTATTATTTGTCATATAAAATATTAAAATATATTTGTTATTTATTTGACATATGAACAATTTTAAAGTGTATTTTTTTATTTATTTGTCATGTAGGTTACAAAGCAGAAGGCTTTGTTTATCCTAAAGAAGGAATGGGAAGCAATAGAAAAGTCCGAAAAGTCACCTTGGGTCAGACAAGCTGAAGCAATTAACAATCAAATTGAGGTAACTAAGATTCAATTAACAAATTTAGGTAATTACAATACTGTCAGATTTTGTCGTTCTTTGTCCATAATAGAACTATCCGGAGTGTCAATCAAACTTAACTGACCAGTCAGAAGAGGGCCCATGTGTGTCTAACAACCACACGTATGTTTTAAAACTGTCGTTTTTTGGGACCTTAGAAACAATATCCAATGTTTTTTCACTAGAAAATAATGAAACTTGTTCAGTGACTCTCAAGCGTGGCTGATAAAGCAGTGATGTGTGATCACTTTACAGAATGACCTTTATTTGACACAATGTCAAAGTGCAAAATTCTTTTCCATTTCCCGATTCACTGTTACGTATGCATAGCTTAGAACGGTTTAATCCAACAGAATACACCATTTTATTATTTGATATAACTCTTTTTTTTTTCAGAATGAAGATAAAGACAAACTTCTGTTGGCTGGATCACCAAAAAAACCCATACAGTAAGTCATGTTTGTAAATAAATGTCCCGATTCAATTACATAAATTTTATTTTTGTTAACTGAGATTGCATTTGTGTTCAATAAAAAAGATATATTGTTGTACAACCTGTGCTTGATTAATGCAGTAATGTTCGGCCTCTGTTTTAATACACACAATATTTAAATTATTAATATTTTATACCTCATCTTTTGTTGTCCTCAGTAACACATACCAGATGTTCACAGCGGATGTTGCAAGAACTCCAGAATTTATGGCAATGGAAAATCGAGAGCGACTCCAAGAGATTGGTAGACGGTGGCGAGCTCTGTCCACCAATGAGAAGAAGAAATATGAACAAAGAAAGACACAAGCATGGAAAGAGTACCAGAAATTACTTGATAAATATATACAGGTAAAACCTTACAGCAAAAATACTGTTTATTAATAACTCTAGGGGTGTGTGCTTGGTTGGGATAACCGTCTCTGCTACATTGATACATGTGAGAGCAAATCTGTGCGGGGTCAGCGAGCATAATGTGCAATATTAATGGCGAGACTTTTTTTAAACCTTGTTTAACAAACTTGTACCCTTTCATAACTTAAGGCATTTTAAGCGCTCAGTAATGATCGTAATTACTTAATGAAATGGTAATAATTTAAAAAATATTGTGTGCGCAGTATAGTGTGCATGTAACGTCACAAAGACAACACAGAGACCTGTAAAACGCTAGAGAAATTTAGCATGTATGTGTGTGCGTGCTCACATGGCGCAGCTTGTCTTTCCCTGTTGTGTTGCACGTATCTTCACTGTCATTGTACCGACATATCCAAGTTTTAACGTTATAATTCACTTGTGTGAAGACTTTAATTTCATTTGAAATTTGTCTTTTGTAAAATGAGTATAAGTCTTAGTGGTTTGTTGAATAATATGGTGAAGTACACTCCCTCAGCCCAGTTGTTATGGACTGCATTTCCTGAAGTGTTTCCTCCGATTGTATTGCTTCACATTGCTATTTGTGTTTCAATGTTATTTTTACGTCTTTTAGAGCCTCTCGTCTGAGGACAGGAAGCGTTTTAAGGAATTAATGGCAGTGAAGAATAAGGGCAAGAAGCCACCACCAGCATTCCTTAAAAATGTAAGCCTTTCACTATATACTCTCTTATTTTTAGCCTGTATGTTTATAGTTTTAATTAGGCAATCTAATTAGTAAATGTGCAATACAGTGGTAATAATTTTAATATAAATCTTTTTTGTAAGTAAATAGTAAGGGGAGTTTCACATCATTGCTGATGATAGTGGTTTTATACTGCTTTTGAATCTTCCTAGGAACTACTTCCTCAATACATAATAAATAAATAAGTAAAAATAAATTAATAATTAAATTATTTAATTAGTTGCAAAGTTTAATACTAAACCTCAAATGTCTTATAGCTACAAGTATTTAGTGGCAATTAACAATTGCAAATGTTTTAATGATTTTTTTAATATAAAAAATGAGCTTTATTAAGGAACATATTTTTTATTTTTATATTCATTAACAATTATTTCTTTTAAAACTACACTATTTGAAATAAAAATATAACTTATTTTATATATATATATAATTATAATAATATTATTGACGAATTTGTAATAAATAAATGAATAAATATATTAAAGGAGTTTTCTTTTAATAAATCTATTCTTAAATTTCCTACAGTCAATGTCGGAGGAAGATTCAGAATCCGAATCCGATTCAGAATCTGGTTCAAGCTCATCCGATAGTGACTCTGGCTCCAGCTCGGACTCAGACTCGGAGAGTGGCTCGGAAAGCACCTCAAGCAGTGGTTCTGGATCAGGATCGTCCTCGGAATCCGGCAGCGGCTCAGACAGCGGAAGCGGCTCAGACTCGGAAGAATAATGCTGCTTGTCACAGGATGACTGACCTCATTAGGATTTAAAAAATATATAATTAGGTCAATGACATGATTAGGTCAATGGCCTTGTATACCAGCTGATCAGGATAACAAGCAGCTGATTTTGCAATGCACAGCTATACTGCATTATGCAACATTATACTTCAATATTGCTATAAGTACTGCAAATTTAAGAATAGAGTGACGTTCAGCAAAACCAGTCCAATGTTTGTATATAAATCGTTCTGCTGTTAAATACTAGCCTACTTTGTTATCACTGGTAATACATTCTGGGCAAAACGTGATTATATATGCGATCAAGGAAGAGAAGTATGTTTTGAGATTACTCAAACTTTGATGGCTCAAGTTAGTCGTTCAGTTGTTTAAAGGATGTTTGCTATTTAGATTTGAATGAATTTACAAAGCATTCAATGTGTTTCCCTTAGTGATGGCACCACATAGTAACACTGGGCAATGTTCCCAAGATTTCAGTGTCATCATTAAATAGATTGGTGCCCACACACTGTTTCCTTATTTTATGAGTCCAGAGTTCCACTGTTTGCTTTCTGTCTTGTTGGCCATGTGATATTAATACATTATTATATTACATGGATTCATTTTAAGTGCTATGAAGAAAAGTAATTGAGAATGAATAATTGGGTAATTAATGTATCTGTTGTCTGTTATATAAATTGTTCGTCAAATCGGGTTACAGAAACTGAATTTTTCTATTAAAAATATAACTACTTCCAGCCATCTAAACTTCTTGGGTTTATATCATTGAAGTTATTGGCTAATGTTGTTGGCCAAATCAATCTAGATAATTTAAGGCAGCTTTTTGAAGCATCTCTTCAATAGACATGGTGTAATGCATAACATTAAGTCAGTTCACACAGAATACAACATATTAAGGGTAGGCTAACACCGACTATAGATTTAATCAACCATGCTGTAAGGTCTGACACTGTATATAAGGTCATGGATCAACGAAACAAATGGTAGTGGCAGAGCAGAAGAGAAAGCCTTTGAAAATGTATCACTAGCAGCAATATTGTAAATAATGTGAAGAAAGGTGATGTAAGTAAAGCTGAACACAATTTGTTTTTGACCAAGCTTATTTCAATATTTATTCAGGATTAATATAGTACCGTGCGCAATTGCAGTCCAACACCATGGGGATCGTATTGATTATTCTTGATATTTATAGGAATGGTTCTGATTGGTCATTGTGAATTCAAACATAGATGACATGATTCAAAACAATTAGTGATTGGTTTATTGATAAAAGGAGTTCGAATTGAGCAAAAATTTATTGTAAATGTTACAGATTTGTATTGTTAATAACAATAGTATTTCTCAAACAAGATTTTGAAGTGTTAAGATGATAGAGTTGATTTTTTGATGTTCTGGGGTTTTTATTATTTAGAGAGAGTGAGAGGTGAATACTGTATTGAATGTGTTACCAATGTTTAGTCACAGGGTTTGGATGTTTAAAAATGTATTTTGATGTTGCCAATGTGTTAGGGAAACCCTGATGTTTATTGCAACAAGTAAATAGGAATTGTGATTTTTTTTATACGAAAGTATACCAACAGATAGATGAGCAGTGTGCAATGAGGGAGATGATTGCTCCTCCCACATTTATAAAAATGGCTTGTGATTGGTGGAATGAAGTGATAATTGACAAGCGGGTAAAGTGTGTGACTGACCACTGGAACTAAATGAATTGCATGTACATTTTGCATAATTAGGATTCAAGACAGAAATTTAGAGGTAACTGTTAGTTTTCAAGTGTAAAATTGTTTAAAAAAATGATGCTGTATATAAAGAAATTTTGTTTGTTTTCAGGTTTTAAGTATTTTTGTGTTTAATATTATTTGTCTTGATAGTAGCCCTGTTGAAATTAACATTTGTAAAGGTACAAAAACTTTGAAAGCACAATTAAAAATAGTGTATATTTAGCCGTGATTATACCGTCAATGAGTGTTTCCAGAGCGATGTAATTCTTTTGCCGGGATTGACGTTAGCCCATCAGAAAATTAGTGGCTTACGGTTAAAATATAACCTGCCTTAAAATATTGTGTAAAAAAAATATCAATCAGTTAATGCCTTGGTATTTTCATATTGAGTTTAGAAAATGGAACTTCAATTTTATTCTCCAGTGCATAAAAAATGTTTAAAATGTTAGTATGTTTTCAACACATTTGGTTTATTGCTGGAGGATTGTCACACTCGATCAGTAGAATAGATCTTTCAAAACAGGTATAAGAAAATGCCTGTGTTGTGTAAATCTTGTAAATTAATTTTATTTTAACAACCTTAACATATTTTTAAACCATGAGTTTTCATAAAATTGTATGGTACGTACCAAAGTATTTCCTGATAACATAAAATGTAGACTGTTTTCTCTATTTTCTTGAATTTTGAAACATTGGTATCTCAAAAAATATTTTTGTTTCTCGGTATTGATAAAATGTTCCTTCCTAGTTCAAATTGGATAAATACGTCATACACATGAAATCTTTCATTGGTATTAATGTCTTTGGAATGAAATTATTTTCTTGTTCCACAGGTCCAATACCATTTCAGCGACTAATTTCTGGCAATGAGTATTTAATGTGTTTCAAACCTACATTTAGTTGCTCCCAACCTTTTTCCAAGACCAATTAAAAGCTATAAATTGTAACGATTTGTTTTTATTTTTATGATTGTTAACAAGTGTTGTGTTTTCTAAATTAGTGGAAGGACTTGATGACAACTAGACCTACTGATTTAACTCGTATACAGTACTAGAATATAACAACTAAATTAAACAAGTTTATTCTTAAAACATGATTGACTGGATACCGACTACTTTCTGGTAATTGTGCCCTCTGGTACTGCAGTACAATAATACAGTACAGTATAATGAAGCTTGTACTAAGTCTCGCGCATTCGGAGTCTGTCTTGCCCCTAAATATACAGTATTTAAAGTAATTATAACTATACTACTACTTGTGACATTTGTAGACAGGGGTGACGTTGGTGGGGTGAGGGGGAAAGGGACTTCCATCGGGAACCTCTGGACCCCATGTTGTAGAATTTCCAGCAAGGTCGTCGGGGGGAAAAATCAAATGTTGAACGCCGAAAGTATAATTCAAGCGTGCCATACTAAGCTTTCAAGTTTAGTGTGAGCAGTGCTACTGTGCAAGGTGTTGTATACTATTGCGATCGTATGGGTTGCAGTTTTGGCCCCAGCTCTTCACCGACAGGGAGATGGTCCAATGACCCACGACAGCAGGATTCTTAACTTGGTTTTCTATCAAATTATGCTTTTTAAATAAAGAATCCCATAATTAGCACAAAATTTTATTACCTTTTAATAAAAAAAAAACATCCCCGACAAATTAAATTTTTTCTCTGATGGCGGGAGGGGTGGACCGCTTGTCGGGGAGATTGGACTCCGTTTGGGAAATTCTGGAACCGCCCCTGTTTGTAGCACTATTATTACAGCAACATTCTTCATCTACTACACTAATCTAAATGGCAACATCATGTTCACCAACTAGCTGCGCTAATTATTGTGAAACGGGAGCTACCTAGGAGGATGAATCGCTCGATTGAATGTCATCCGTTCAGGCACCTTTTGGACACCGTTTGTGGAACCTTGGCAACGTTATCAACTTCGTTGCTTGGAAACCGATGAGAAAGTGTTGCTTTGGGCATGTTTTGCTGTTTCATTTCATTTATTTTGTGTTTGTCCAATATTACATAAAGTAAACACATTACAAAATAAATACAATATGACAAGATTGAGAAACAAGCTAGTCATGCTGGACTGGATTGCTCAGAAGGGTTCTAGTAGTTCTAGAAAAATCATCTGTTTTACAGCTCTTCAAAACACGACTGACGAAACAAAATAAATAGGTACAGTACATGCATAAACAAATATTTAGAAAGCACTTATATACAAATGAGGATTGGTTTGGTTATAATTTATTCACTTCAAATATGTTTTGATTTTATTTTAAAAATGATTGAAGACTAATAAGAAGCTCATCACGAAATGTGAGGAAAAAATTACAGAAAATAAAAGTTATAAGTATTGGTTCTGGAGAATATGTTTATAAATTTAAGAGGTTCTAAGTGTCTTTTGTTAATTGCTACATAATTTAAGACATTTATATTTAATTTACCATAATATCATGATTTGGCTATAAAACTTAAATGTAATGAACTTTAATTCTATTAACTGACACCATATAAGTAATTTCAAACGTTCCTGATATTCAAAATTAGTAAATTGCAAATTACATGATTTTGTCATTATGATTAGGCCTAATTAGTATTTTTCCAAGGCTGTATTAATTATTTTTATTTGTATAAGAGGACCACGATGGCAAACCATATTTTAAAATTGGACGAATAAGGGCAATATATAACTTAGACAAGACAAAGGGATTTCTCGACATCACAACCCTTTTAACAAAACCAAATATCCTCTCTGCTTTATTAATTTTATAATTTCATTTACGCGGGCATTGCAACACAGTGAAGAGTTAATCGTTACACCAAGGTACATGTATACGTATCAACAACATCAAGAATATTTCCATTAACTGTATAGTTAATAGCAGCATTACGAAGGCGATCCGATCTTGCAATATGCATTACTTTACATTTTTTATAATTTAAACTCATGGGATTTTCTTTACACTAATTGTTGATGTTATCAATATCTTCCTAAACTAAAGAATGCATTCATCCATGGGCGTCGATTAGTGGGGACAGGAGGAAAGTCCCCCTCCCCACTTTTCAAAGCAGGGGGCCCCACCCACTTTTCAAAGTAGGGAGAATCATATCAATTGTCCCTCAACCCCACTTTCCAAAGCGAGTGCAAAGAACAACAATTACGAATGACTGTCATGAATTTTGTCTGTTCACTCAGGGCAATTCAACAACTGCCTTGGTTCACTTGTGCTCTGTTCCAAGTGCGGTGTCTATTTCCGAACCAAAACCGAGTAAAAACGTAATTGTTTGTATATTTCGTAACATCTTAGTAACCATTCCATCGATTTTATGGGTGGAACGGTTATCAGAGGCTAAATTTATTGTGAAAACTATATAGGCCCTACTGTACGTTGTTAAAATTAGAAGCGTGTAAACCTAGGCCAACATTTTAAATTTGTTGCCCTACCAGGGCAGCAATTTTCTTTCAAATACCTGGTTAGTTGTGCACCTGTATCATAACATCCAAATTACTGTGAAGCAAGCTTGTATGTGAACTACAGTACAGTATTTCGTAGCACGTCGTCGCCAAAAACATCTTCTAAAATACCGAATGTCGGAATGGTGTAGTTTAAGTTTGGAAAATGGACATAAAACTATAGGCAAGTAAAATTGTACAAGCATGTAGGCCTACATGGTTTTAGATTTAATTGCGGCATGTTGTGCAATGCCATTTCGAATAAATTTGATTTTGCAACACACACGACAATGTAAAAATCTAAGTACTCTTTAAAATTAAGTAAAATCATCATTTAAATTAATTTCATGAAGTGTAATATTATTTATGTAGTGACTTAAAAACTATCGTAGGTCGTAATATGCGTTTTAATTTAAATAGGACTCTAACAATCACATAATTACAAATTTATGAAAATAAAATGCAGTATAAAGTGATTTTAATGCCGTTGATGTTCTCAAAATATTTATGTATTGTTTTAATATAAAGAAAGTTATATTGAAATTGTTGCACCATTTATTAATAACATTTAGTCAAATATTCTATAAATTAAGTAAATTATTGCACACCTTCATTGTGTATTTACATCCCCATTTTACCATTTGGAAACCGAATAAGTGACGTAGTGTCTATAACATTTTTGGAGGCTTTAGTGCAGTGCATATTCATGGGAACTTGTTTTATACATGGTGTATCAGACTGTTTTCAAAAATAGAATTATTAATTTCGGGAGAAATCAGCTGTTTGTTTAATGGTGTCTCGATGATAACATAATAATGTTTTTATTTGCCTTAGCTCAGCCTCAACCATGGTGGGCAGAGGTGGATGGTAGTTTTCATAAACATTATATCCAAGTGTCGTTTGGAAAGAATTAAAAAAAGGTAATTAAGTTCAGTGCTAAAAATTTTTGTGCGTCACCGCCAACCATGGTGGCACTGACGTGGTTTCATTAGCACCTTCCTTAAATCTTAGATAAAGTCTTATTTATATAGTGATTTAAAAACGATCTGTGGGTCGTAAAATGTGCTTAAAGTACCTCATGTAAAACCTCGATAAGAAGCCCAACTTCAAGAAGAAGCCCATCTCGAAAAGAAGCCTCCTACCCATCCTCCTCTTTAGTTTGCAAAAGTAATCTGAAAAAGAAGTCCATGCGACTTCTAATAAATACAATATGGACTTTTTTTTTTTCGAGCATAAGAGTATTATTGTTCACTATAATACCCACATGTTTCGAGATAGTGCTTACATTCAGACTGACTTCTCTTTGATGATTATGATAGCGTGTCAGTATAAATAGTATTTTACTTTACTAGCATGGTTACAATTTGAAAAATATTAAATAAAATTTCAAATTCTATATTTGAAAAATGTCATACAGGGGTGGCGCCAGCTTCTCCCTCGTGGGAAACTTTTGAGAGATTTTGGGCGAGGCCCAAAAACCACGCCCACCGTTTTTTCGTCGTGGACATCTCCCTC